GAACAATAATAAAGGGAATAATAACGGGTCTAATAATGGGAATTGTAATACGAATAGTAGTAATAATGGAAATGGCTTTGGAAATGGAGTTATTGGCGACAATCAAGGGAATAATAATGGTAATGGGAATTGTGGGCTTAATAATTCTTCTAGTGGTAGTGATGGAACTGGAAGTAGGAACAATAGTACTAATAATTCACCAAATAATTCATCAAATACGAGTACATCGAATACAAGTTCACCGAATACGAACTCGGGCGTTGCATATTGGGAAAAATGTTTTGGAATATTTGAAGTATTGAGCCTAGTCGTTATCGGGATGGGTATACAATCAATTATTTGAATGTTAGACATAAATGTTTATTAAATATCCGTTATAAATTAGGTTTTTTGAATTCTATTTTTATGAGGACAAAATTAATTTTACTTAATCTTTAACAAAGTACGTGCATCGCTGATTTTAAATCAATGTGTTGTAATTGCAAAGCACGCAACTTGCTCCACATTGACATACATATGTTATTCACGCGATACATGTGCAATGTATTCGCAACGCGATTGATGATAAAAATATAAATTTTAAAACTTACCAACCACAACATGGTAAAACAGATGAAGTAATGAATGATATATTGAATAATAATACAAAAGTTTTGACAATTAATTACATTAAAATCATTATCATCATTATTATTAAAATTTTTCATATTTGTAATATAATTTCAATTTGAATTTTTTTATATAAATAATATAGTCTGAATATTAATTATTATACTTCGATAATTGCCAAGAAAAAGATGACATTTTATAAATCTAAAATATAAAAAACCAGAGAATGAATATTTAACTTTGATCCTAATTCTAATCCAAAAATCAAATATCATGGTCCCTCAATTTGTAAATTTATATAATAGATCAAAAATATAAATTATTATCTAATGAGAAAATTATTTAAGCAAAAATCACAATAAAGTGATTTTATAATGATATTCAAACTACTTGGATTTTTAATATTCACTTTAAATATTTCTATTAAATAGACAATGCTCATAGAATTTGATACTTCCATTTAATTTAGAGACAAGTTTTTGTCATCTTTTCAAAATGCTAAAGTTTTTCTCAATATAATTTTTTGTACAGAATAAAAATATATTATGTAATGAAAAAATTAATCAGCATTTAAAATTCTTTAATTTTACAACTCCTCATGTATACAGCGTGATTTAATTAGAGCAGGCTCTAGAAATTGAGACCGATGATGATGATGTTTTTGAGGATACTGAATAAAAGATTGCTCATTATAATGTCGACGATGAAGTGAATCAAGCTTATGATTATTTCCTTGAAGATTTTCGATTTCTCTTTTACGAAGAAAATCTTCTTCATAAACTTCTTCATCGTATCTATTTTGACCGTATTCTTCTTCATAATACTCATCTTCATCTAAGTCTGGAAAATTGCTTATAGGTGGTTCTTCTTCTTCTTCAACATATTCTTCGTTTGCGTATTCGCCTCCTTCTTCTTCTTCTTCTTCTTCTGCAACTTCGTTAAATTGTCGTTTCTTTAAAAATTCGTTATCTTGTTCTTCGACTCCTTCCTCTTCGGCTCCTTCTTCGCCTATTTCTTCTCCGCCTGCCTCTTCTTCGCTCATCTCTTCTTCGCCTGTCTCTTCTCCGCCTGCCTCTTCGCTTATCTCTTCTTCGCCTGTCTCTTCTCCGCCTGCCTCTTCGCTTATCTCTTCTTCGCCTTCTCCGCCCATATCTTCTTCACCTATCTCTTCTTTGCTTTCTCCGCCCATCTCTTCTTCACCTGTCTCTTCTTCGCCTTCGCCGCCCATTTCTTCTTCGCCTTCTCCGCCCATATCGTCTTCGCCTTCTCCGCCCATATCATCTTCGCCTTCTCCGCCCGTATCTTCTTCGCCTTCTCCGCCCATATCATCTTCGCCTTCTCCGCCCATATCTTCTTCGCCTTCTCCGCCCATATCTTCTTCGCCTTCTCCGCCTGCCTCTTCTTCTCCGCCTGATTCTTCAGACTCTATATCTTGTTCTTCGGTCTGTATGTCTTGTTCTTCGGCCTCTATATCTTGATCTTCGGCCTCTATATCTTGCTCTTCGTCGTCTTGGCGTTTTTCGATTAGATTTATATGGTTAAACTGATCGACGTCAATATTACGAGCTGCCAAGTTATTAACAGAGTTGTCAGGGCATGTCATATCACCAGTTAGTGATGGAAATGCGTTGACATTATAATTCAAAGATATGGCAGCTATCAAAATGACCAAAATAATCATAAAAAAACAATTATGATAAAATTTAGGCGGTCGTGGCATTTTCAAGAGAATATAAAATGGAATTTAATTTCTTTGTTCTTTAATTCAATACTTTTGAACAATTAAGGTTTTGAAAATAATAAAAAGCAAGCTTCTTAAATATTATTTGGACATTTTGATTCACATCAATCAATCTTTACTGCATGATTTAAGATTAATCATAATGCAGACACAATACGATGAATTATCTTTAAATTACATAACAACCCTGGAATACGCAGAATTTAATATTTACATGTATATGTATGTAATTAAAATAATAAATTTTTGTTTTCGCAAATTTAGCTTTCACTTTGATAAACAAAAATCGGATCAAAAAGTCTTGAAAAATGAGGGATAGCTTATTCTCAGGCTTAATTTATATAGGTTAATGTTATATTTCACATAACGGCAAATATGAAAGGTAACTTATTTTCGGACTTTACGGTATATAATATAACGATGACTTCTAAGTTTTGGCGAATTGTCACTTGTTATTTCTCAATTAACGAAACTACTGTATATGAGTTTTAATTTAACCTTTTTTTCTGTTGTTGCAAACACTAACTTGCATCGTTCGGCACATTACAATCCTCAATTCTTTTACTTTTTTCTTGAATACTTCGTTATTGCATCTCTGAACAAGATCTGGTTGTGTTCAATACTGTTGATCCTGATAATCTGCGAAGAATAAAGTGAGCTATTGCCTTTGGCAAGGCACGGATACACAGATTTACTAAATCCCATGAAGCATAATAGAATTTGTGATTCTTGAAGAAGCTATTGTCTTTCACAAGACACGGATATATAGCTTCGTTAAATTCAAGCATTGAGAACGATATCTGAGATCACTTGTCCTTAAAGGAGTATTCTCTGGCGAGTGGTTCACAGATTTATTAAATCCAAAGGAGAAAAAATTCCTCTTCCTCAAACCGACGTAATAGAAGGCTGGGACACAGAGGAGTTAATCGATTTTTACGTAAGCAAAACTTAAAGCTTGAAGAAAATCATTTCCAAGTTCTTCGTCAACAAGAAATTGGTGGTTCAGACATCCTCGAGTTGAATGTGGATAAGCTTATGCAAAATGGTTTAAAAAGAGATCCTGCTGAAATTGCACGTTTGATTAGAGACATTAAGAGCGAGGAGCAAGGTAAGTACTATGACTCCATTCGAATCTCACCGCTTTCTTCGCAATAATTTTGATCTACTAATTTGTGTTTTGCTAATGTTAGGACGTGAGAAAAAAAGGATGGCAGCGGAAGAACGTAAGAATATACAAAATTGTCTTTGCTTTGTGTCGTGCTTATTTTCACTAATATTTTTAGTCAGTTACGATCGCGATACCAAAGAAAGGAAAATGGGAAAGAAAATGAGAAAGAAAATGGATATTAGGTGGTCCCATTACACCGGAAGAATGTTCTTTTGCCTATTTTGTGGATCTGACAGAACAGAATGCACCACTTCTTGAATTGATATATTGAGATGAATTCGTAGCGCTACATGGACCACGAGGCTCTGGCAAATCTACACGAATGCTCTACTTTAAGGATCAATTGAATAATAAAGGCTTTTTTTGCATTTTGTAAGTTCATATATGAGATTGAAAATTATATCAATTCGGAACACTGTATGAGTTGGAAGTGTAAAAAATTATAAATGCAAACAAAAAATTAAAAACATTTATCCTATTTCAGGATTGCTGTGTTTTGCGTAATGTCGTATTTGGAGAATCATACATATACCTTGATCATTGTCGAAGGGGGGGGGGAAAGACATGTGCTTGTCACTGTCTTTGAATGTCATGCTTTCATTTGCTATGTTTCACGTATTATTGATTGTTATGCTTCACTTATTGTCATTGCTCTTCGGAATGCCATGTTTTGATTACTGTGCCTCATGTATTGTTGTGCTTGGATGGTAGTTTGCTAAAGAACTGAAAATAATATTGATAAGAAAGTTTATAATGATAAAATGAAAATAAAGAAAGCATCATCATCAAATAACACATTTTCTCCCGTATTTCTTGACATCTAGTACAATTGAAAATAAATTATTTTTGTAAGTTCAATTTTGTCATATGAATATAAAGACACTGATTTTAAGAATTAGCCATCACTTTTATTGTCTTGCTCGTCATCCAGGTCGGTACCTAATTTGCTATCTTGTTTTTCATCATATATATCATCTTTTCGCTCTCAAAATCGTTATTTACTTCCTTATCCTTCTCTTTATCTGTAAATACTCCAACTGATGATGAATTAAAAAAAGCTTGCAGCGAAAAGTAATTCAGAAATTATACGCAAGATTGTTGATTCTTATAATGTTAGTTTATTTGGAATGAAATCAGAATAAACATATATCCAAAGAGAATGTATTTTTGGCACATGACTTCATGACTAGCTGCTCTATCTATCATTATAACAAGATTCTCGAATTCATGAAGGATAGCATCAATTCGTTATCAATAGATTAATTAGCAATATTCGTGCGTGTTTGGCTGTGACAGCTCTTGCTACTGTGAAATTTCAGCAATCAAAATAGACAGAATAAAAGTGACTGCTATTGATACTGTAGCTATTTCTTTAATATCTATTGAAATAAGTATTATTTGTGTTGATATTGTAGTTATTTTCTCAATATTCATTAAAACTGGAGTTATTTGTATTATTATTGATATTAGCATATTTTCATACAATTAGATAATTCTAAGAGAATTTTTTGTAGTGATATTATTAATAAGAGTTGTGTGTATGATGATGTGATCATCTTTCTAACTTTTCTTTATCAGTTTAGTAGCTGTTCTTGATCTAATGGTTTTATCTAAAAATAATACAAATGACAGTTTATATCTCTCCAGCATATATATATATTTATCAAAAAATGGAGAATATGTATGTGCTATATGTATATTGTTATATATATATATTATTCTATATAATTGAGATAATTGATAATTATATATAATTCTGACAGAAAGTAATAACAGAATGACTATTAAATTAATATTAAAGATTATAAAAATATTTATTTCACTGAAATTTATATTATAAGTATAAATTGATCAGTTAAATAATATTATTTAATATATAAATATTTATTTTTTAAGATATTTTTGAAATATTAAGGATTATTTACAATTATATTAAATTAAAATATTTATAAATAATACTTATTATATTTGTAGAATATAAGTAATATTTCTGTATTAATTTTTCATTCTTTCTAAAAAAAAATGATTACACATCCTATATATATATTAATAAATTTAATAAATTTTAATATTAATTTTCAGTGATTTTATATTTTTAAATTATTATGAATTATTTCTATAAATATATTATTTTAAACTTCTAAAATTTATTTATTAACTTAAATTATAATTAGATTTTTATCTTTAATAAATATATATTACTTACTTTTCATTTAATTTAATTATTTTTTGCATATTTTATCTTTAAAAATTTATTAATATAAATATTTAATAGTTAAATAAGTAATATAAAATTATAAATTATTTATTTATGATTATAAATAAAATAAAATATAAAGTAAATAGTTTTAATTTATAAATACTAATAATTTTATTATTTAAATAGTATTTAAATCTAAGATAAAGAAGTAATATATTTATAAAAAGAAATAAATATAAAATATAAATAAATTATTAATTTAAAATATATATAGATTGAATATAATTAATTAACTTAATTTATATTTTTAGAGAATAATAAATCATAATTTAATAAATTAATAATAATTAAAAATAATATAAATAATAATTAAAAAGAATAAATAAAAATATAAAGAATAAATAAGTAATAAAACTAATTAAAAATATTAATTATTTAAATTAATAATAAGAAAATATATAATAATTATTTATATAATAATATGTATAAATCTAAATTAATTAAATATATAATAATTATTTATATATTCAAAATAAAAATAATCTTTATAAAATATAATACAAATAATATAAAATAAAGATTTAAACTAAAATAAATATAATCTAATCAAAATTATTATATATTATTTTACTTAAAGTATAATATTTTTATTATATTTAAGTATATAAATTTTCAAAACTTTTATTTTTTTATAATATTTTTCAAGTTTTTAAGAGATTTTCAAATAATATTATAAAAAAAATATTTTAAGGGTAGGATCTTTTGATTAATATAATCTATAATTGATAGTTAACTCCATGATTGATATTATTAATCATCTGATTCAACTTTCAAAAATGATTCAATTCTCAAAAAACTTTTTTAATATATATAGTAATGATTTTTGCTCATAACTTGATTTGTATGGTAATGATTTTTGCTCATAACCTGCTTTATATAGTAATGATTCATAAAATTAACCAATAATATTAGTTAATTTTATGAATCATTACTATACAAAGCAAGTTATAAATATCATCAACTATACAAAGATCCTATATATAAATCAAAACTTAGATTTTTATTTAGTGATTATGTAATAATTTTGATTGGGTTATCTTTCTTTAGATTTCTTTTAGTTTAGATCTTCATTTTACGCTATTTATATAACAGATTAGCTTTGTATTACATTTTTAAGAAGATCATTTTCACTTTGAATACACAGATAATCATTATGTATTAAATACATCTAGATCTAGTACATTGTTACTCAGATAATTATCATGTGTATCACAATTATTAATTTAGATTATTCATATTTTTAATTAATTATTTCTTTATATTTTTATTCATTCTTCTTGTTATTTATTTATATTATTATTTATTATTATTTATAATTATCATTA